ATTAATGACTTAAACTAATTTATTTGGCTAATTTCCCACCTACCATTAGTTTTTCATAGACTTCATCCAAATTAACCTTAACTCTTATCATATGCAAACCACGTAACTCTCATTTGTGGACAAAAGCGTCACTTCACTAGACATTCACATACAAAAGCTATAGAATCACACATACTTGCATAGGTTTATATTTTAGAAATCTAAGGTTTTCAATTATTTTAAAGAATGAAGCAACCGAACTACCCATACATGTTGTGCACATGCTTCCATTTAACAAAAATTTGGATGGAATGAACGAAAAATCAACAGTAGGGGGCAAATCAGCAAAAAAAAAAGTTTAAGTCCTTAATTTTCCAATTAAAAAGTTTAGGGAGGAAATAAAAAATTAGGTGATAGTTCAGAGGGTAAATTTGCAGTTTACTCAATAAATATTGTTAATTATGGTGATTACAGACAAAAATTACCTAATTTCTAGTCTTTGCCTGTGACTTGCTTTTCCACACGCGGTTTGTACATAAATTTACTACAGCACAACGCATATTCTGTATTTTGATATTTATTTTTACAGTAAAAAAATGATAGTTTCTTGATAAGTGATGGATGGAAACCGGAAGGGTGTGCAATATGAATAAAGTTTAAGTTTTATTATAAAATCAACTAGTAATATGAAGAGTAGTTCAACTTATTTATAAGTTCATGTAAAATTTTTCCTCTTATTAATATGAAATTCATTTTCAACGATCTGTATACCTGCGACCAAAAGAAGAAGGCTAGCTGCACGTTGTCACCGTCACTCATATGATTTTAGATATTTGCAATGCGTTAGGTGGTGGATCCTTGTCTAAAGTTTCAATCCCAAATCTATCCATCAAAAAATAATATATGTATTTTAAAATTTAAATTAAAATATAAACCATCCTTTTTTATTTTTATTTATTTTTATTTTTATTTTTTTTAATGTTCTTAATTTAGATCCCTGTTCTGTTCGATGATTGACAGGCATTGCTGATCAATGGGAGGGGTCAGTACAACTGTTCTGTGGCAGCGCATCATGGCAATTCTAGTTCAAGCCAGTGCCAATTAAGAGGAAGCGAACAATGCGCACCCGAAATACTCCATGTGCTTCCAAATAAGATCTACAGGCTCAGGATAGCCAGCACCACTGCCCTAGCATCCCTCAACTTGGCCATTGGGGTAAAAACCTTATTCTCTCTCACTACATATATCTTATACATTTTTACAATTTGTGACAGTCAATTTCAACTTTATTTAATTATTGCCCTAAAGTTGGAAGATACATTGATTCCTTATGCTAGTAGCCACATTTTGTTTTCTGGGCTAGCCATGTTTTACACTCTTAAAGTTTCAACACATTGAATCATTAGGTTTTAAAATTATGTCAATTTATATTTTATGCTTATTTGATTGTATGGTTCTTCATAAATTTAATTAATAAGGTGGTTGGTGTCATTTTTAAGATGGTATGTACAAGTCACACTTGCACTACATAGATAAAACTAGTCATCACATAGCTTCGTCATCTCCTCCATGGATGCTTGACAGCGCAAAACAAGTACTAGCTAATGGCACAATTTGGTCCCGAATGTTGTGAGTCCTGCTTCAACCACGTCGTCATTTAAAAAAAGAATGAATTGGTAAAATGGGTTATCATGGTGTCACGGTATTGGGTAATGCTGTCATGCACCAATATGGGTCATAAAAGTGACGAGTTGTGCATAAGGCATTGGGGAATTTAGACAGACAGAAGCTCTACAAGGATTACTTAATATGATTCTATCTTTTTCTTTTTCTTTTTCTTGTCCTTTCCCAGAATCTTCCCCACACATTATGTGCACTATGCATGGTTCATGAAAAAAGTATTTAAAAGTGGAATTGATTGGGTGCCCAGTGGGAGAGGCAATTTGGGAGGAATTACATGTTATGCAGCAAAGAAAAATCCCTAATAATAGACTGAGTGGCAGCCAGGCATTGGCCAAAAATACCAATGCATGATTGTTGGCTTTTCAGCCAATTAGACCCCATTTGGTGGACTGGATGAGATAGATCGTGTAATTACAATAAACTTGAGTCTAGTCCGTTATTTGTTGTGTCAAATATAAAATGGACATGACTTGATATAATAAGTTATGAATCCACAATAGAATGAATTCTCTAACCTAGCCTTATATATGGATTACAAATTATGTCTTACAAATCCCTATCAATCCATTCTTATCTTTCAATCACATCTAGCCCATGCTGCCCATTTTAGGACCCATTCATTCCGACATGATTTTCCTTCACACTTTTGAAATTGTTTTTTTTACTAAATTTAAAAAACTGTTCAAGCATGTGAAAAATTGTTTTGATTGATTTATATTTTTCAACTCAATGTATTTCGGATTTAAACTTTTTTGCTTCTCTTTTAGTGAAGATTATACGTGCAAACTATCGCTTAATATTGAAAAAACATATTAGGCATTGTTAATTTTGTACTCGTCTGTAGAAAAAGGAGAACAGTAATTAACTTTGGAAGAAACAAATCCTTGGCGCATATGAGTGTTTAAAGCTGCTGCTTTGCTTTTCCTGAGTAGCTCTGTCCTGTCCTCTCATTGGGTTGAATGAGTTGGACCATATAACAGAATCAGAACACGTGATTCTTTTTCTGTTGGCGTGGCCTTTTGCACCATGATCAAATTTGACATCTGATTGGCACATGTGCTCTAATTTATGATTCTCTCTAGATTTCACAATCCGGAAAAATTCTCGTATAATTTAAATTGAATTTATCCAGATTTTTTTTTTTTGTGTGAGGTGGACTAATGGAATAGAATAATAGGACCACAAGATTTAACTTGAACGGTCTGGATTTTTCATATTGTACTCTGGAGTATGAGATCCAAAGAGGATCTCAACCCCTTGTACCTATACCTATACGTAGTATGTATTCTTTGTACGTAGCTTTTGGCATCCAATATATATATATATATATATATATATATATATATAAGGAAAACTAATGAAAAAGATTTTGAGTTTTAACGATGAGAACAAAATAAAGGGTAAAGTGAATAGTACAAGCTTTGACTTTTTAGTGTAAAAATATAGTTTTTCGTTAAAGTGAACAGTACCGCGAGTTTTTCGTTAAAATTCCCATATATATATATATATATATGTGTGTGCGCGCGCGTGTGTGTGTGAGTTTGTGTGTAGCATGTAGCAACAGCATGCATGCGTCCTTGTTCTATAATTTCCCGTTACTTGCTGCATGTAACGAATCTAAAGGACACTATAATTTCCAACCAAAACAAAAACTGTCATGTTTTTTTGTTTTGATGAACATGTCATGTTGCTATACTCAAATATTAACCAGTGTAAAATATTTAGCAGAAATATTCAAATCTAATCGAAAGTAACCATGAATTCTTCACTAAGAGACCATGGAACTCTATTACATACTCAGTGGTGTACATTGATGATATGTTGTCAGTATTATTTGTTTAAAATGTTTTCTTGATTCAGTCTACTAAGCAAAATTGAACAAATATTGACAATGTATCATATATAAACAGTATAGATTGGTATACCTATATTCTAAATCAACATTATATATTGTGCAAAAATTATGTCACTTGATTTTGTTATATATGTTTGATGTGTTGTAGAATCACAAAATGGTGGTGGTGGAAGCTGACGGAAATTATGTGACGCCATTTGCGGTTGATGACTTGGACATCTACTCAGGCGAGAGCTACTCAGTCCTCATAACAACCAACCAAGACCCTTCCAACAACTACTGGCTTTCAGTAGGAGTGAGAGGAAGGGAACCCAAAACGCCGCAGGGTCTTTCAGTCCTAAACTACCGCCCAAACTCCGCCTCAAAGCTCCCCGCTTCGTCACCTCCCACCACACCTGCATGGAATGATTATGCCCACAGCAAGTCCTTCAGCAACAAAATTCTGGCCCTGATGGGCTCCCCAAAGCCTCCCAAGAATTACGACCGTCGGATCACCCTCCTCAACTCCCAAAACAAGATCAACGGCTACACCAAGTGGGCCATTAACAATGTCTCCCTAACTTTACCGCCCACTCCTTACTTGGGATCCATTAAGTACGGTTTAAGGCACGCGTTCCAGCAGAATAGCCCGCCGGAGAGCTTCTCCAACGACTACGACGTGATGAAGCCGCCCGTCAACCCTAACACCACCACCGGGAACGGGGTTTACATACTGGCCATGAACACAACAGTCGATATCATACTTCAAAACGCGAACGCACTGACCGCTAACGTGAGTGAAATACACCCATGGCACTTGCATGGACACGACTTTTGGGTGTTGGGGTACGGTGAAGGCAAGTTTGACCCCAAGAAAGATGAGAAGAAATTGAACTTGAAGAATCCACCGCTGCGGAATACGGCGGTGATATTTCCTTACGGGTGGACGGCTCTTAGGTTTGTGGCGGACAATCCCGGAGCATGGGCGTTCCATTGTCACATTGAGCCTCATTTGCATATGGGGATGGGCGTCGTCTTTGCGGAAGGCATCCAACACCTCACCAAAATCCCTCAGGAGGCTATTGCATGTGGTCTCACTGGGAAGATGCTTATGACAGCGAACCACAATTAATAATAGGGGTTGCTGCTTAGTTTAATTTGTGTTTATTTATAATATGCGCGTCCAGTAAGTTACTTTTGATTCGTCGGTCGAGATTATGTATTTGAGTATGCATCTCTATATGCAATTAGACTTTGATACATCTATGATTAATTTATATTGATTGGTGTTTTGTTCAACATAATAATTTAGGTGAGAAACAATGAAAAATATATGGATCAAGCAAAACTTCACCAACTGAACAGTTTTTATTAATTAATTACTAGTAATTCGTTGAATTACATCAAATATTATTAACTAATTAAACCTTGAAAGGTACTTAGGCATATGGTTTTTTTTATCTTTTCTTTTAGTAAACCTACTTAGACATATGTTGGATGTGAACTAATGGGAAAGGCAGGGGACGTAAGGCGTGGAGAAGGAAGAGGTGCCCTGGGCATTGTTGCAGTAGGCATAAACATCCTTGTTTGGAACACCCGATCTTATATTGACGTTATCCATTATAATGTTGGTGCAGCAATTCTGTCCACAGTCCAATGTAATTGCTTGCGGAACACCGGAAGATCCACCAATGTTACGGAATGTCACATCGCTCACTTGTACGCACTACATGCACCATAAAATTAATTCCGTCATACATAACCATAATTTAAAACAAACTAACAAGCACAACACATATGAGTCATGACAGACATTATCAGTTAATTCACCTTGTTTATGTCCATTACTGAAGTAGGATTAGCAAAATAGCGCTGGTCTATAATGATTGGGTTCTCAATGTCTGTAAACGTAATTCCCTCAAAGGTGATCTTCCTCGCATATCCTGAGCCGCCCTACAATGCACGCAATCAAAAATAATATTATTAATATAACTGAACTAATTAATCACATGACTAATAAATTAAGTGTCAAATTAAAGGAATTTCTTACTTCCCATGTCTTGATTCTCATTCCATTTTGGGTGCCTCTGAAGCTGCAATTGCTTACTTGAATCTCTTCCACTGCACTATGTTCTCCATTTTGACCAAGACTTCCAATACTACAAGTGCACATACAATTAATGAATTAAAATTAAAAATTTAAGCCCTGATTTAATGAGGAAATATAAATGAACAACAAATTATGCTGGGAAAATAATAATTATTACCTAATACCATGGCCTGGTCCACATTTAACACCATTAATATTGATAAAAGATGAACCACTATTGATGGCAATACAGTCATCGCCTATAAATATACACGATAAATACAAAAATAGCAAAACGAAGAATCAGCTCCCAGTTTACTTCCTTAAGAATCTAAATACATGAAAAAGGTCGACATAAATACATATATATATATATATATATATATATATATATATATATATTACCAGTTGCAATAAGAGAAGTGTGAATGGTAAGTTTGGTGGATGAAGAAATATCAATTCCATCAGTGTTAGGGCTTTCTTTCGGAGCACTAATTAAGAGTCCGAAAACCCGGCCACCATTGCAGCTGTTGATGCTTATATGATTCTTGGGGCTGTTCAAGAATGTGAGGCGACTCAGCTGGAAACCATCACATTTGTGGATGTGGAGACTAGTTGGTCGCTGGCAGTGTGATTTCTTGTTCCCGCATAATTTCCACCAACCGGCACCGTTGCCATCTATTCGACCTCCGCCGTTTATCATAAGACCGGGCACATTCGCAAACTGAATCCATTTGTCCTTGTTTTTCCATGCACCAATGTTATTTGGAGCAATAATACTTCCTTGTATCTGCAAATTTTACCCCATTAAAATTAAAAAAGAAATAATCGGCACAAACAAACAATATAATACAAAAAATAGTATCATATGTTAAAAAGGAAGATTTCATTGAATAGGGTTTATATGGTTACCTGGAAATTTATGTTACTTGACCTGCACGGCCCCTGGAAAGCCACGGAATTTAACAAGAATGTTTTACTTTTTGGTACAACCAGGGTAGCGATGCCTCGAGTTGTTGATACACACAGAGCTCCCCATGCTTTGAGGAAGGCCTTTTAGTTTGTAGCACAAGTTAAACCAGGAAACAATAAATAAACAAACTCTTTGTAAATCCAACTACAATTCAAAACTAAAATATACATACAATTGAATCATCAACTTGGCCATTCCCAACAGCACCATAATCAATCACATTGAAAGTATTTGCTTGCGATCCCATTGCTTCTAGGAAGGCCTGCTTAATTAATTGCACCAGTTGCACAAAATCAATAAAATTGTATTAAGGCAAAAGGGAAAAATCATTCACAGAAATTGAAAAACGAAGAAAATATATGAAGAAGAAGTGGTAGCATACTTGATGCGAATCATCTTGTGTCTTGGCGTTATTATTCCCAACATCGAATGTCTTCATTGGTCGAGATCCCCATGCTTCTGGGACGAAGGCCTCCTTTAACTTGAGTTGAACAAAAATATAAAGACACATGAGTAAATTAAAACATTAATCTTAATTGGTGGAAAGAGAAATCAATGGATATATATATATATATATGTATGTATGTATGTATGTATGTATATATTAAACAAAGAGAATGAATGAATAATAAGAAGTGTAGATAGACGTACTTGTGAGTCATCATCATCATCATCGGTGGGGGCATACTCAGAGGCATAGAAAGTATTTGAAGTTGGTGTTGCATCATCACCATCTAGTACTAGTGATCTACTAGCAATACATGAAGTTGGTGAATTAGCAATCACAATGATCGCAAACAAAAAGATGGCAACTTTTCGATGCATTTTTAATGCTAATTGTAACTGAAGGAGAAATATATGAAACAAATTAGTCAGAAATGGGGATGAAGAACAAGCTAGGCTGCACTACTTTGTACTAATGGTTATAAACCTTTGGCGGTGAATGTTGAGGAGATCAACCAGAGGGAAAAGATAATAAGTACACACACACACACACACACATATATATAGGGTTCATGCATGCGATGCTATATCAATAATCATAAGTAACGTTGGTGTGGTACCAAAATAGACAGAGATCACAATATATTCTGGTTTTGGGGAAATCAATCAATCAGTCAATCAATCAAGATTTCAAATCCTTTCTTCTTTTGTTTATCGTTATTTTTTTTGTTTTTCCTTCGTTAACCAAAATACCGATTATGATTCATTTTTTCCATATAGAAGCTAGGTCGAATCGCATGTCTACCTTTATTATTATTGTGATGAGGCATTGATTTCTTAATCCCAATTAATTTTTTTGTGAAAATGTTGTGTGTACTTATTTTTTTTCTTTTTTTATAAGAAGCTACCATGCGTCAATCAATATAAGTTGGATGAGAGACCGGAATTAAGGTCAAATGATAAAAAAAGGTCAAATCTTCAATCCATAATAAAATGTCAAGTGAACAAATCTTCAATCATAGTTGTCAATCAAATTTAACCATACATGGTGGAAACTGCACGTGACTTTTTTTTTTTTGAAAGAGCAATGTCAATTTTTTTTTTAAGTACATGAATATTTTTTACATTAAAGGGAGGGAGAGTTCGGTAAATTCCCACAATGGGTAGCCTAATTTGGTATCGAATTGGCCATCCATAAGATTCGAACTTAATACCT